TGAGAGAACTAATCCCAAAGAGGTTGTCATGTCCTAAGGTTATACAATTAGTAAAAGCAACTGGGCAATTTCAGGGGCTTGGGAGGGAAAAAAGGAACTGTTTTATTTTTCTCTTGAATCTGGATAATAAAGTAAACTCTGAGCCTCTCTTCGCAGCATCTGATGATGGATGTTGTATTGTCTGTAAGATGCAAAATCTTTTACTCTTACTTTTACAATAAGGATGCTAAAATCACTGAAACCAGTTCTTTTAAGTTCATTATGTAGCGATATTAAAAATGTCACTGTTTTACCTTATTAATTACAGCATCGTATAAACAGTCTTTGCATTATTAAAGTATAGATTTTATATTAAGAGTTTATAGAAATTTGTGACTATTTTTAGCACCACCCCCCTCCACACACACATATATTATAGTAGAGTTTTTGTTGGTTATTCAGAAGAAGGGTGAATGTTTTGTACTTTTTCTTTTTCAGGTTTCACTGTGGGGAAATAAGTGTGATCTGTCTCTAACAGGCGGGGAATCTAGTTCTCAGAAGACCAATGTAATAAATTCTTTGAAACACCTAAAACCTTTCATTGTAGTGAATGACATGGAGTATCTTTGGTCATTGCTTAGCAATTGCAAGAAAAGAGAAAAAACATCCATTAGAGTGTATATTGTTCTGGATAACTCTGGGTTTGAACTTGTTACAGACTTAATATTAGCCGACTTCTTGTTGTCCTCTAAACTGGCTACTGAGATCCATTTTTATGGAAAAACTATTCCATGGTTTGTTTCTGATGCTACTATACATGATTTTAATTGGTTAATTGAACAGGTAAAACATAGTAATGATACGTGGACATCCAAGTGTGGGGTTGACTGGGAGAACTATATTAAAATGGGTAGATGGGTTTACCATGATCATATATTTTGGACTCTGCCTCATGAATACTGTGCAATGTCTCAGGTCGCCCCTGACTTATATGCTGAACTACAGAAGGCACATTTGATTTTATTCAAAGGCGATTTGAATTATAGGAAGTTGACAGGTGACAGAAAATGGGAGTTTTCCATTCCATTTCATGAGGCTCTGAACGGCTTTGATCCCGCACCTCTCTGCAGCATAAGAACGTTAAAAGCTGAGATTCAGGTTGGTCTGCAGCCTGGGCAAGGAGAACAGCTCACAGCCTCTGAGCCCAACTGGCTGACCACTGG